TAACACGCAACCCAATGCAGCTGTCATTCTGCAAAATCATGAACACAATGATAAAAATTCGTCATCTTCTTAAACTTCTTATACCTTGTCAGTCGTAACGTCCACTATCATGGTGGGCCGAAGACCGATATCTCTAATTAGCTCTGACTTTCGGAATAAAATTGGCCTTTTGTCACCCTGACAAATCGATATCGCGTAATCCGGGTACACAGACAAAACATCTGCCTGAACACGTCCGTTCTCGTTGAATAAACTCATTTCGATCAAAAAGTGGATATCGACAGCGAATCGTCCGTTTTTGTCACCACTAACGTCAGTTCTCAAACGGAACTGAACGAAATCACCGCTTAACAGCGTGTGTGTGAATGCCTAGAACAGACAGCCAATAAATATGAGAAATTATAAAACGATAATTTATTATCCCAGCTTACCAAGTCTTTTTTCCAAAATGGGACTAATAGCTGCCTTGTATCAGCACTGTACTCCAAGGTACCTAATTCGCAGCCATTAGGACCACTAGGAATGCTGACGACACGGCCGATGTATTTCTCCAATGATATTTGTTGTACCTCAGATGTTAAGATATCCAATCGGGTAATTACCTCTTCTCCGTCCTTAAAAATTTTCGGTAAAGACCTTAGAAAGTGAAACATGATGTTACATACATCCGCACAGACGGAAACAAACTCAACGTTTGTCCCAACCCTGATATTGTGATGCGGAAATTCGTGCAAAGCGTAAAACATGATTTTCGATGCAGATATGCATTCAATGGTTGCAACGCCGTTGACAACCGCGGTGACTATGCCCTTCTGATACGGAACTTCAGGAACGACTTCACTAGCTCTCCACACTGCAGAACTGAAAAACAGGTTGTGTGAATTACAATAGCAAGTAGAACAAAATCAACCGGACAGGTAACATGAACACAGTTAATATTAATATCACTTTTAACTTACATGAAATCCCAACTCGCCTTCAGTCTGACCTTGGCACCAAAATCGCACAGCACCTTTTCAAGCGTGTATTTCAGATTCCGCCAAGAGAACTGCACAAAACTTGGTTCGCCGTGTAGATTACAGGCAAGACATCCAAAATGCTGAAAATTAAAATCATGACATCTAAGTCTCGCCCATGCCTGGCGCGTAATATTGAGCCTACCTCGAGACTTTGAGGAACAATGACAATAACGCCGATGCACTGCAGCTCAGTTGGACAAGACTGAAACTGGCAACGCGGTCCGCAAGTGAAGCATTTCATCATGCGCCCCGTCGAGCTACAATCATTGCTGCCGCCTTCAATACTGGTCCCAACGCGAGAGAACATATTCGGACTGCAACTCTGGGGCGTCCTTCGACATTCCACAAATTCGCCGAGAGTTTGGTCATGTTCGACAGTGACTACAGACAACATCGTTGACGACCGATTACATAAATCGTAAGGTAATGTTTTTAGCTTCTGCGCGTGAATACGGCCAGTTTTCATATCGTGACCCAAAATGAACTCTACCGTGTCTAAAAATTATCTTCATTAATTTACGGCAATTTTAAGTCGAATATAAATTAACAGTGAGGAAGGAATTAAAATCAGAATGGTTTTTTCAATTAGTAAGAAAGAAACGACCATAGAACAAATAACAAAAGGACAAAGAAAAGCTGTGCTAGAAATGTAAGAAAGTTTCTGCATTGAATCAGAAGCAGATGAGCAAATGAAGCTAGCCGTATTACAATTGTGTAAGCAATTGCAAAAAAGTGCTAACTGGTTGCTAGGATCAAGTTAATTATTATCTGCAGTTCAGCTTGGAACGTCTGAACCTACGTAAGGCAAGCAGTGCAACTCCTAAACCGTTTTTTACGTTTTAGCTTTTGTTAATCGATACAAATACATATTAAATTATTCACCACAGTTTTAAATTATTTTGAAAATTTTCAAAGAACGTACCTCCAACTTTAAGAAATTCAGGTTTCGTCACTGAAGTTCCAAAATGGAAAAAATAACGTTGGCCATCGTTCGTTATTACGAATCCATAAGTAGCCTAGAAAGTAATTTATAATATATGCTGATTTCTATTCGGCATATGATACAGCTAATCAATATCGTAAAACAACAAAACAAAAGTAAGGTGTTAAAGTATATTTCTACTTCGTTTTTCTACCCAATGAATACATATATTAATTATAAAACATTCGATAACTGGAAAATCTTAACGAGCTGCAAATTCACATTTTGCAGCAATGTCTCAGAACGCAACAATGTGGAAAAAAAACTGGACAATGCCGTGTTTTAGTGAGTCATTGGACAAAACCAAAACAGACTCAGCTAACCTTAACATTACGAAACTGACATTTAGATAGAATATTCGCTCGATGCTCTACCGATGTTCTGCGTAACAAATGGAATAAATTCTTAACTCAAGGGGATTCGTAAATAAGACAGATTGTTTTCGAGTGAATACGAACCCGGCGCTTCCGGATTTCGAAGCAACCTTCTTAGACATCGTGCCACAACGCCAAGTAAAGATACATTAATTTACGCAATGACTGTCATTTAACTATTTCGCGTTTTGAGAACAGAGTGAACACAGGATAGATTTGGTGAAACTACCTGGAATGTTTATGCAAATAAACAATGCCATTCGATTTTCAAATGTCTAAATTTGTATCTATTTTTTCAGCGGTTTACACTCGAGCACGCTAATGCACATTTTTGCTTAGAAAAAATCGCAGTTGACAAGAAATTAGTATTTAGATTCATGCATGACACTTTCATATTATAAAAAGGAGATCTATTACTAGCCCACAGTTCTAAAACTGTCAGATGAGCTCAGCAGAACTGAAGTATCAAACCTATTCTAATTTAGTGACCTCTGGTTTGAAGATAATAAGGCCTTATTTTCAAGGTTAGGGGAACCAAGCAGGAAATATCAATGAAAATGTCCCATTACAGACACTTATAGCACACAATAAAACCGAAATTTTATTCATTCTGAAATCTTGGACCTTCATAGGTGCTATCTCCAATAAAATACACCTGGAAAGCAGCTTAAAAATGTTCTGCTTGAATTATTGACTGTAGATTTTAAAAAAGTTACGTAATCAAACCAACATCGCCGTTTATGTTACTTTCGTCGCTAAAGACGCGTTAACACTTGAAATACTAAATTAATAAAAACACTTTCTATAAACCAAGCATAACATTATGACAAGAATAACTGCGAAGTAAAAATTGAAAAAAATGCAAATACTCTCACGTAGCGAAAATAAATGACGATTTATTGAAGCACGTGATCTACAGACAAAGCGTTGGTTGCATTGCACTGTGCATAAACAAAGCGTATTGGTTTGTTTATCAAGTTCGCTGCCAACGGGGGAACAGAACACCCATCAATGGTGTCTGATGAAGGAGAATGCAATGCCATAAAAGTGTGGTAGTTATTTAAAGAAAGGCAGTCAGAACGATTAAACATTGTGTGCTACGTAAATTCGAATGCTTTTCACTCAACGATGTTAGAAGAAAGTTTTTGGTGCCGAAAAGATAACTTGTTAACCTTTGAAGGCCGCATAAATTTTCAAATATTTGCAAATTTTAAAGAATACAAACTGATCGCACCAGATACGAGTGAAATAAGTTTATGAAACAGGGTCTTTGACACAGCGCAAAAGTTGTAAAGAACTGGATATTTCTATTTAAATCTTTTGCGAATCATAATGAATACTACAAAACAAGTAAATCTGACAGATTCTACAAACTTCGAACTTCTAAGATAAATTTATACTTTAAAATTTTCAACATCATTCAAAATATCTAACTTTGGCGGAAGTTTCTTGTTGAATCTCGCATGTCACAAACGAATACGAGTACCACTCCATGCTAACTTCATCTATATCTCAAGTCCAGACTACAAACTACAACCACAAAGAGCAATTAGCAAATGTAGGTGTCAAAGGTAGCTAATAGCCAAACTTCAAGGAAACGAACTTTTAAATATTGCCAATGCACCATGACTAACTAAAACTAAAATATACAGCAGTTTAAATGGCAGAACCGCAACGACTGCTGAAAGAATAGCACAGTTAAGTTAAGAACACCAAGGCGCGGAGCGGAATAGGCTTAGGTTTACTTAGCCTCTGCTGGCTTTAAATACATTAACAAACGTTCACGGTGCAGCATTTCAAAATTTGAAACGTTAGATGTGAAGGCATGAAAATCAACAATCGTGATTTAAAAAAAAGCCTGCAGCACACCGTAAGCAACCTATATTAAAATTTCGGCGGGAAAAACGTTCTAGCTCCAAATGATAAGAATATCCCAGCAATGTCACATTTTCTAGCGGTGGCTAAAAGCAGCCGGTAACTAAGAGGCATTTATTTTGATTGTTTCTTAGTCTGAAACAATGCAAAACAGTACATGCATCGGCAAATGTAAATTTCTTGGCAACATGTTAAGACAAGATATAAGCCACTAAGCGTAATCAAGCTAAACACAAGAACGCCGAATAAAAGAATATATTTAAATAATATTGATTCATCACAATTACATTAAAGATTCAGAAGATTCAAAAGCCCCGATTCAAACGTAAATATTACAAGTTTGAAGAAATT